TCAGGTGGGTGTTCTGGATCCCCCCCGGGCCACCCTGGTGCTGGACAGGGTCAGAACGCCTGGCCACTGCACCCCACAAGACTTCTCTGACACCAGAGACACGTGGCGGGCACCAACCCTAAGTCTCCACCAGGCCCCTTCCGACACCGTCCCGGCGTGGAGGGGTGCATCGTGCGGGCTCTCCTCTCAGGGCTAGGGCCCCCAGGACTATCCAGCAGGGATAAAACTGCCCGCCCAAGGTGGGGGGGAGGAAGGGAAATGCACGGGACTATGGTGGTGGCACAGGGGTGATTTGGTGATGGGAAACCTGCGGGGATTACAATCGAGATGGAAAAAAAAATGTGCAAAATGATGTAAAAATAAACTTTGTAATAAAAAAAAGAGATGGTAATAGGAAAAAAAAAAAAACAACTCCCCGCCCAAGTTGGGGTGTTGGTGCCTCGTGGCCGCCTGGTGGGGGGAAGCCTCGGCCTGAGTCCCTCGCTGGCGTGGCTGGGGTCAGTCACGGTGGTTTCTGTCATATCTGGTGCTTCAGTTCTTTGTAGACTGATAATTCCCTGCTCAGATGGCGCCTTGACTTCACTGAGAGAAAAATTCTATGAACTGTGACGGGGAGACAGTGAGGGGGTGTCTTGAACCTCTTCACCCCGGCTCAGAGAGGCGCTCCCCCGAGGCCCAGCTTCCCGATGCGCTGGCTGGCCTTTTCCCTTTTCTCCTCCCGGAGGAGTTACGAGCCAGGGGCAGGTGGGCCCCCGTGACCCTTGGAAATGTAAACCCACTTTGCTGGAGTTGGGCCCAGGCCTTCTCCCCATGCACACTAGGGCCCCACCTTTCTGGGAACCTCTGGCTGGGCGTCCAGAGCTCCCACACCCTGTCTCCTCTGCACAGGAGGACCCGGACACCATGGAAGCCGATCTGGACAAAGACGAACTGATCCAGCCCCAGCCGGGAGAGCTCTCAGGCGAGAAGCTGCTGACCGCGGAGTACCTGGGGGTCAGTGCCATGAGGGGGGTCTGCAGTAGATGAAGCTCTGTGTTGGACATGGCCTGGCGGCGTGTCCAGGAACACCGGGCGGGGGGTGTGTCGTGAGAGTGAGCAGGTGCGTGCATGCCGGTGGCCTGTTGCCCATCTCCACGGCCCTCCCGGTGAGGAGACGGGGTGCCGGGCGAGGGAAGTCGTCAGCACTCGTGCTGGCACAAGCCCCCAGGGCAGAGAGTGGAGGGGGGCAGAGGGAGGAACCGAGGACCGCAGGTCAGGAGAGGGAGAAAGGAAGGGGCTTGTGGAGAGCCAGTGAAGGCCGGGCCACGGCTCGCCGGCAGAGCTTCCCAGTGTGCGTGGAGGGGCCGCCCAAGCTCCAGAGGCCTGTGCGGCCACATCTCTGTGACAAGCCATCACCTTGCCGCGGACGCTCTGCAGCTCTGGGGGCCGCTGGTCACGACCCACCCGCCACAGGAGGAGCTGGCCATCGTCCGGGAGAGGGGCCCACAGGCCCCGGAAACCTGGATGGGAGCCCCGAGGGGAGTGTGAGCAGCGGCCCCAAGGGTGCAGCTGTAAGCGGGAAGGGCCCTCGAGCCGGAAGCCCTGTGACAGGCCAGTGGCATTAGAGAAGCTCCAGGGACCTTGAAACTGGTGGTTGACTCAGTGGGCTCCTCGGGCCTTCGAATGTCCTCCGGGGAGGTGGTCGCCGCCGGGGCAGAAGGCTGGGAGCCGGTTCTCAGCAGCGCTGTCTGCGGGAGGAAAAGCGGGCGCTGCAGGTGGCGTGAGCCTCGCCAGAGGTGGTAGGAGCAGAGAGGGCCTGTCCGTCCTGACTGCTGCCCTCGGCCCAGGCCCTTCCCACCTCCCCTGGACGCCAGTCTCCCTGGGCACTGGCCCTGCTCCTCTTTTATTCCAGGACTCTCCAGGGCCCCAGCCTAGAGATCAGTATATGCAGGCGACTTTGAGGTTGAGGTCCTCCAGAGCCCAGCGTGGGGCCGTGCGGGCCGGGGCGAGGGCCGCCCCAAGCTGCGCTGGGGCACGACTGGAAGGCTGAGAGCAGGGGTGACTGCTCGATGCCGGCACGTCTCCGCTCTGCCTCCCCCGGGCTGCTTCGTGGAGACTGGGCTGTGTTACCACGTGTGAAGGAGGGGAAGGGGCCGTGTGCAGATCAGCTCCCACCCCCGCTGCAGACAGGCTGCTGGGAGCCCACCACCGTCCTTGGGTCCGAGGGTCAGAGGAATCTGCGCTCGGGAGTCTGTTTACCTTAGGCCAAGGGGGCCTGGGGCCGGAGAAAGGTCGGCTGAGGCAGTCAGCCCTGCGGTCCTTGGCGGAAGTCTCAGCCCGACTGGGCCTTTATTACCCTCGGGAAGAACGCTGGCTTTGTCTGTTTGACATAGCAACACTCCCCTGCTGTGTGAGCAGGAGAGCAGGCGGGAGCGCGTCGGGGAGGCCCGCCCACCCACTCGAGCCCCCCTGCCTGGGGGTGTCAGCCAGGACACCCCGGCGCCTGGTGCCCCCCCGCCCCTCCGCACTGGAAGTGCCGTGAGATCCCGCGTTGACAGGAGCCGGGTCTTAGCACCCGCAAAGCCGGGAGCACCGCTAGTGGTGTGTGTGGACCAGAGCGACAGGGAGGACAGGGCTGCCGTCTGACTCGGCCAGCGGCCAGGTGAGAGGCCCCCGAGGCGGCGGAACCCCAGGCCGCGTGCAGGTCTCAGCCTCCTGGCCGGAGGGGTGCGGCCCTTTGCCTGGGAGCGAGCCGGCTCACCTCTCTGTCCGCCCCGTCCCTGCGGTGGACACGTGAGCAGTGAGCGTGGAGGCCAGAGGTGTGCTGCCTCCAGCTGTGCTGCTCCAGAGCTCCAGACTCTGCACATGGCCGCCGCCTCCTCTGTGTGTGCTCTCCTCTGTCTCTTATAAGGACACCTGTCCTTGTCTCGAGGACTCCAGAATGTTCTCTTCAGCTCAAGATCCTTGACCTCATTACATCTGCAGTCTCTTTCCAAATGAAGTCACATTCACTGGTGCTAGGGGGCATGACACCAGGTAGAATCTCATGGTAGAAACTTTTTCATTGGTAAATCTTTTTAAACATATTTATTACATTATCTTTCATTTCTGTACAACGTATGATTTCCCCATGAAATTCCCACCGCCAGTTCACCCACGCGCCATCACCATGGTCCCGTGTGCTCTTACCACTGCTGTCCTGATCCTTCTCCCTCCTCCTCTGAGCTGTAGTTGCCTGATGATTTTGATTTTTGTTTTATTGTTGTTAACCTTTTTTCCCTCGGATCCCTTGATTCCTCTACATTCCTCCTAAAAGTGAGACTATTCGATAATTTTCTTTTTCTTTCTGGCTTATTTCACTGAGCATAAATCCCTTCCAGCTCCATCCATGTTGCTGTAAATGGCATGGGTTTATCCTTTTTCATTGCCGAGTAATATTCCATCGAGTAAATACACATCTTCCTGATCCAGTCATGTATTTTTGGGCATTTGCATTACTTCCACAGCTTACCTATTATAAATTGTACTTCCCTAAACACAGGGGTGCAGGTGTCCTTTTGAATTAATGTTTTTGTGTCCTTTGGGTAGGTTCCTGGGAGTGGAATTGCTGGAGCATAATGGAAGCTCCATTTTTAGTAGTTTGAGGAACCTTTACGTTTCCTTAGTAAATGTACTGCGGAGCAGTAATCTCTGAGGTTAGCAGGTGCTCCCGGTTTTGCTGTCTTTGACCATTAGGCATCCTGTACTGCCCTCAGCCACCCCATTTTGATTTGAAATTGACAGCCTGCTGCTGTGTGTGCTGGGTCCATGATTTCAGAAGAGGGTCTCCTGCGGTGCCGGAAGTGTCTTAGCTCTTACTTCATAACTGTTTATGCCAGAGGAAGGAAGGAGCTAGCAAAGAGAGAAGCCATCTTGCTGGGGGCCAGGTGACCAGAAGCATGATTCGCACCTCCCATTCGGATGTACTAGATCAGTCAAAAGAGGTTGACTTTTTGAATCATCACGTCAGAAAATTGTATTCAGAGAGTTTTTGCCTACATGCTGAAAAGACAAGGCCAGTACCTTCAGGAAGTTCCCAAAATTCACAGAGCAGGGAAACTCTGATGAGAGATGCGGGCAGCAGCAAGCCCAGGGACGGCAGGGCTGGCCCAGCCTTCTCAGCGAGGGCCGAGGCAGCGTCTGGGGCCTGCCCCGAGCCCCCTGCTGCAATGCCACCGAAAAGCTTGGGGGTGAGGGTGGAGATGCCCAGGGACGCCCACCACTTGTTCAGGGTGCAGGGGCGCCTTTCCCAGGGGCCCTGGCCAATCTGGGCATCGGCAGCACCCCCCCTTTCTGCCGGCCCTGCCCTCGGGGCTCGGGGCTCCGGGCTCGGGGAGCCGGCACCGCTGCAGACAGCAGACCTGGCCAGCCGGCCGCGGCGGAGGTGGGGGGCAGTGTCACGGTAATGCGCTGCTGGCCGCTCGGGAAGCCGCCCAGGGTTTCCTCTGGGCTGTGACTTCAGCAGCTCGAGGCTGAGGACCTCCACTCTCTCCCTCCTCTGGGGCGGAGGCTTTCTAGCCTGCCCCGTTCGATGCGGAGCAGCGCGCTCTTTCTTCCTAAAGGAAAGCCGGCGTGACTGTCCCACCCGCTTAGAGGGTGCTGACACCCGCGACGGGGCCCTAGAGTCCCAGAGCTGCTGTTGCACTTTGAGGCTTGAACTCCTTGTTCACTTGCCACTAGGAC